CGGCCGGCGCGCGCGACGCGAGGGCGCCCTTCGCGGCGCCCCTTGGTGGTCGGAGGAGCGCACTGCAGGCCCAGCCCGAGAGCGTGAGCGCCCAGGGAGAAAGGTCAGCCGGGAAGGGGTAGGAACTGCTGTCCAGGCCCAAGAATCCGGGTTTCCAGTTTAAGAAATAAATAGAAAGCACGCGTGTGTATTGCACTGTCCTTTAATAAAGCCAGCTCCACAGGACAGAACCGTTCCAAAATGTGGCGCATGCCTGTGATCCCAAAGAATGGCCGTTAGAGGCCAGGCCTGGGCAAGAAAGTTAGCAAGACCCCCCTCTTCACAGACAAGGGGCTCATGCCTGAAGTCCCGGCGTATCCCAGCGGGAGATAAGCCATGGGGTTAGGCTCTCCCTTGAACACTGTCCTGGGGGCTGGCAATGCCAGCTCTCAGGAGGCTGGGGTTGGGAGGATTGCAGTGTGAGGCCCACGGGGACAGAAAAGGCCGAGAGACCCCTTCTGAACGCATTGCTAGCTGCAGTGACATGCACCTGTCATCCCAGACTGCAGACACAACGGAGAAAAGCCTGAGACAGGCAGGTCACAGCTCAGGCACAAGCCCAGGGGGAAGCCAGACTCTTTCCTGAAAAACACCTGGTGAGGACTGTGTTGGAGGTGTGATTGCCTCCAGGGTGCGGTCCTGAGTTCAAGCATCAGTACCCACAACACACAAACCAGCCAACCCTTCCTTCTCCCCTTCCACAGACGGCCTCTGCAGTTAAGCCTTGATGCATGCTTTATTTTCCTGGCAGGTGAACCAACCTGTATCTCATTTTTTCCAAGCCACTCCTGTAGTTCCAATTAACAGCACTGAGCTCAGGGAACCAAAGTTCCAGGAACAGGCGGTTGGCTTGAGCCCAGGCAACATAAAATGAGACCCTCTCAAATAAAGCACCCCCTGCAAAGAATTAGGGCTAGGGGTGCAGCTCAATGCTAGAATGACTGTCTAGGACGCTAAAGGCTCTGGGTTCCATCTAAGCATGACAAGGAGGAGGGGGAGGGCAGGAGGGGGAGGAGGGGGGAGGAGGAAGGGGAGAGGGAGGAAGGAAGAAAGAAGGAAAGAGGGAAGAGGAAGGGAAGGGCGAAGAAGAAGAAAGAAGAAGGAAAAGAAGACAAACACAAGTACAGTAACCGACATTCAGGTTCTCACAGGCGTTTTCCTCACAAGCTCCCTCTAGCGCCCGTTACAGGTGACTGCCTCTGGCTTATGGAGGAGCTCAGGCCCAGGACACACATACCGCCTGCCTGTTGCAAAGCCCAGCTAACACTAGGGTCCCGCCTTGAAGAGTGTGAGCAGGGAGGGACTGAGGGCCAGGTTAGCCTGGGCAGAGAGGAGGCGGGGAAACCCGCCAAGAGCCAATTCCCACAGTGCCCACCACAAACAGGGTGGCAGAGGCAGGGACAGCTGAGTTCCTTCAGCTGGGCAGGTGATGATTGAATTCCCACGACACTGGCTGTGAAGCAGGCGACGCTCAGGACCCCAGGGCCACGGAGAAGCAGGGAGGGAGGCGGAACAAATGCACAGGCACAGCTGTGCACCCGGTGCGGTCCGACGCCCCTCTAGTTAAGAGAGTCCGTTCTAGGGGTTCAGGGATCAGAGGAGGAAGTGGGGACTGCAGAGCTGGCCTCAGAGCGAGGCTGTGAGTGTGAGAGTGAAGCTGGACATAGCCCAACAGCCACAGGGACATTTGGGGACAGGGTCAGCAAGGGGTAGGGGCCGCAGCACGCAGCCACCGGTGCTCAGATTGCTGGGGTCTGAAACGCAGCTCACCAAGTGCGGCTTCCACTGGCAGCTGAATGAAGCGCATTACCCGCCGTTCCCCCCTCCCCCGTTTGCAGAAGTAATCCATGTTCATAAAAACACACACATTACAAAATGTGCCTATCCCCCCCCCCCCGCAGTAATCCGTACTGATGCTTCAGGTAGTTTTCACACTTACATCCACATTAAAAACATTTGTAAATGTAGCTGTGCAATCCATAGGATTTCACAATTTGCTTTTCTTCCATTTTCCCTGCCAGGGGCATCTTTCAGGGTTGGTAGCAAGACCTAAACTCATTCCCTTTAGTAGCAGTAAATTCTTCTGAACTCTGTGATGTGATAATGAGCTTCCGCAGTGTCTTTCCTTTCCTCCCCCCCCCCCCCGCTCTTTTCTTGTTGGCTGTGGGGCTTCAGCTCAGAGCCGGCGCTGTCTCTTGAGCTCTTTTGCTCAAGCTCTCTATCCCTGTGAGCCATAGCTTCCCTTCTGGTTTTCTGGTAGTTAATGGGAGATAAGAGTCTCATGGGCTTTCCTGCCGAGTCTGCCTTTGAATCCGGATCCTCAGCCTCCTGAGTCGGTAGGATTACAGGTGTGCGTCACTAGCACCTGGCTTTTGACATTTTCATATCGGTGGATGTAGATTATTTCTGATATCTTGCTTTGCTTTTGTGGCACTGGGGATGGAACCTAGGCCTTCCTGCATGCTAGCTAAAGGCTCTACGTCAGCTGTACCCTGTTCCCATTTCTTTCTTTTTTTTTTTTTTTTGGGTCCGGTTGTGGGG